AAAACCTTCCTATTTTTAAAATAGAAGAGCAAAAACTACACATCACAGCATAAAGAAATAGCAAGTATAACAAAATACACATGATTATAAAATATTATGATAGACCAAACATATCAGTCCTAACAGTAAATGTGATGGGCTTAACTCACCTACTAAAATAAACAGGTTGAATCTGGCTCACAAAACAAGTATTTGTATAAAATACACATCTAAAACAAAGTAATCATGAAATGTTAAAAATAAAAGGATGGCCAAATTATACAAGGCAAATGCAAACATAAAGGGAGCACGGGTGGGAAATCTGGAATCAGGCAAAGCAGAATTCAAGTCCCAAAGCATTCATCATGTCAAAGGAAGACACTTTAATGTTAAAAGTCACAGTCCTCGATGAAGACAGAGCAAATAAAAATACACATATTTACAACAAATAACACTGCAACCACCTTCATGAAACGAAAACTACAATAGATGCAAGGAGACACAGAAACACTAATAATAGGAGACTTTCATATAACATGCTTAGTGGTATTAAGACAAAGATGAGATAGAAGATCTAAACAGCAAAATCAACAGAGTATATCTTAAGTATATTCATCAAACTCTACATTCTGATACTAGACAATATTCTTCTGAAGTTTCTACATCACATTCACCAAAAATCAACATACATTAGGTCACAAAGAACACATCAGTTAGCTGCACATAATAGAAACATTACAAACAAAACTTTCTGATCATAATGCAATAAAACTAGTTTACTAATAAAAACAAAAAACAAATTTCACCTAGAAATTTTAAAATCTCTTATTAAACAACTCCTGGATACTCTAACATAGATCTTTTTTTTTTTTTATTAGTTGGAGGCTAATTACTCTACAATATTGCAGTGGGTTTTGTCATACATTGACATGAATCAGCCATGGATTTACATGTGTTCCCCATCCCGATCCCCCCTCCCACCTCCCTCTCTGCCCGATCCCTCTGGGTCTTCCCAGTGCACCAGGTCCGAGCACTTGTCTCATGCATCCAACCTGGGCTGGTGATCTGTTTCACCCTAGATGATATACATGTTTCGATGCTGTTCTCTTGAAACATCCCACCCTCGCCTTCTCCCACAGAGTCCACAAGTCTGTTCTATACATCTGTGTCTCTTTTTCTGTTTTGCATATAGGGTTATCGTTACCATCTTTCTAAATTCCATATATATGTTAGTATACTGTAATGGTCTTTATCTTTCTGGCTTACTTCACTCTGTATAATGGGCTCCAGTTTCATCCATCTCATTAGAACTGATTCAAATGAATTATTTTTAATGGCTGAGTAATATTCCATGGTGTATATGTACCACAGCTTCCTTATCTATTCGTCCGCTGATGGGCATCTAGGTTGCTTCTATGTCCTGGCTATTATAAACAGTGCTGCGATGAACATTGGGGTGCACGTGTCTCTTTCAGATCTGGTTTCCTTGGTGTGTATGCCCAGAAGTGGGATTGCTGGGTCATATGGCAGTTCTATTTCCAGTTTTTTAAGAAATCTCCACACTGTTTTCCATAGTGGCTGTACTAGTTTGCATTCCCACCAACAGTGTAAGAGGGTTCCCTTTTCTCCACACCCTCTCCAGCATTTATTGCTTGTAGACTTTTGGATAGCAGCCATCCTGACTGGCGTGTAATGGTACCTTGTTGTGGTTTTGATTTGCATTTCTCTGATAATGAGTGATGTTGAGCATCTTTTCATGTGTTTGTTAGCCATCTGTATGTCTTCCTTGGAGAAATGTCTGTTTAGTTCTTTGGCCCATTTTTTGATTGGGTCATTTATTTTTCTGGAGTTGTGCTGGAGGAGTTGCTTGTATATTTTTGAGATTAATCCTTTGTTGCTTCATTTACTATTATTTTCTCCCAATCTGAGGGCTGTCTTTTCACCTTGCTTATAGTTTCCTTTGTTGTGCAAAAGCTTTTAAGTTTCATTAGGTCCCATTTGTTTATTTTTGCTTTTGTTTCTAATATTCTGGGATGTGGGTCATAGAGGATCCTGCTGTGATTTATGTCGAAGAGTGTTTGCCTATGTTCTCCTCTAGGAGTTTTATAGTTTCTGGTCTTACATTTAGGTCTTTAATACATTTTGAGTTTATTTTTGTGTATGGTGTTAGAAAGTGTTCTAGTTTCATTCTTTTACAGGTGGTTGACCAGTTTTCCCAACACCACTTGTTAAAGAGGTTGTCTTTTTTCCATTGTATATCCTTGCCTCCTTTGTCAAAGATAAGGTGTCCATAGGTTCGTGGATTTATCTCTGGGCTTTCTATTCTGTTCCATTGATCTATATTTCTGTCTTTGTGCCAATACCATACTGTCTTGATGACTGTGGCTTTGTAGTATAGTCTGAAGTCAGGCAGGTTGATTCCTCCAGTCCCATTCTTCTTTCTCAAGATTACTTTGGCTATTCGAGGTTTTTTGTATTTCCATACAAATTGTGAAATTATTTGTTCTAGTTCTGTGAAAAATACCGTTGGTAGCTTGATAGGGATTGCATTAAATCTATAGATTGCTTTGGGTAGTATAGCCATTTTGACAATATTGATTCTTCCAATCCATGAACACGGTATATTTCTCCATCTGTTTGTGTCCTCTTTGATTTCTTTCATCAGTGATTTATAGTTTTCTATGTATAAGTCTTTTGTTTCTTTAGGTAGATATACTCCTAAGTATTTTATTCTTTTTGTTGCAATGGTGAATGGTATTGTTTCCTTAATTTCACTTTCTGTTTTCTCATTGTTAGTGTATAGGAATGCAAGAGATTTCTGTGTGTTAATTTTATATCCTGCAACTTTACTATATTCGTTGATTAGCTCTAGTAATTTTCTGGTGCAGTCTTTAGGGTTTTCTATGTAGAGGATCATGTCATCTGCAAACAGCGAGAGTTTCACTTCTTCTTTTCCTATCTGGATTCCTTTTACTTCTTTTTCTGCCCTGATTGCTGTGGCCAACACTTCCAAAACTATGTTGAATAGGAGTGGCGAGAGTGGGCACCCTTGTCTTGTTCCTGATTTTAGGGGAAATGCTTTCAATTTTTCACCATTGAGGGTAATGCTTGCTGTGGGTTTGTCATATATAGCTTTTTTAATGTTGAGGTATGTTCCTTCTATTCCTGCTTTCTGGAGAGTTTTAATCATAAATGGATGTTGAATTTTGTCAAAGGCTTTTTCTGCGTCTATTGAGATAATCATATGGTTTTTATCTTTCAATTTGTTAATGTGGTGTATCACATTGATTGATTTGTGGATATTAAAGAATCCTTGCATTCCTGGGATAAAGCCCACTTGGTCATGGTGTATGATTTTTTTAATACTAACATAGATCTTTAAAGAAATAATGACAATAAAAGCTCTACATATCAGATTCTATGGGATGCATTTAAAGTAGTCATCAAAGAAAAATTCATTGCACTAAACAAATTTATCAATAAAAATGAAAGAATAAAAGTAAACAAATTTATTTTGAAGGTAAAAAAAGGAACTAAAAAGCAGCAAAGTAAACCAAAAGAAAGCACAAGGAAGGAAATAAAGATAAAAGTAGAGGAAGAGAAAAGTAGATCTAAGTAATAAATCAGAATTCTGTAGTTTTGGGAAAAATTAAAATGGATAAACCACTAAATAATATAACTTGACTAGGAAAAAAGAGAGAAAGTATAAATACACAAACTAAAAAAGAGCAAAGGGGAAATAACCAATGAAATAGAAGAAAAATTTTAAATCATGAGATTATTTTATAGCCCTCTATCCAATAAATTTGAAAGCCTTGATGAAATGGATAGTTTTCTAGAAAAACCGATTATTACTAAAATTGACCACATTAAAAACCTTGAACAGACCAGTTTCCATAGAAGAAACAGAGAAAGTTATTAAGAAAACATTACATGAAAAGCAGCAGGCCCAGACTGTTTCACAAGGGAATTCTACCAAATCTTTAAACATCATATTGCCTCAATGGTCTATAAATTATTCCAGAGCTGGTATATCGGGATAAGGATCAAGCCCACAGGAACATTAACCTTTCGAGGAGATGAACCAGCCAAAACTGAGAACAAACATCTTCTGAGGAAGGCGGGAACCCTGGAGCATAGAAGGATGTTTCAATAAAGGAGACTTTCATGGCAAAAGCCATATAGAGACCCAATAAAAGGAATGAAAAGTGTGAATACATGGCTTGAGGAAGGTAAGGAGACTGAGAAAGCCAATTACTAACAACATTTTCTAACAGTCTGTCTGGCAGGGGAGGAGAGAAGCTGGGTTGCAGTTAAGGGATAAGGGTCTAGGCAGGAGGTTTTAAAATGGGAGCAACTTGAGCAGGTTGATTATTGGTAAGGAAAAATTATGTGCACGGCACTGGGGACAAAATGTAGAACCACAGTCATAGTAGAAATCTGTCTAGGCCCAATTAGTTCAGTGTTTCCTTTGATTCCTTACTATCAACTCCAAATAATGTAGTCAATTTCTCTCAATATTCCACATTTATATATTACATTCTTCAAATGTCCACACTGAATTTTTATCATCAGTCACATTTTATGTTAATTTGGCAAACATTACTCACTGCTAGCAACTGCTAGGGGCAAATCATACAAAGTCAGAAGAGACCCAGTTTCTTTACTGCAGAAGCTCAGTCTTCATTGGATAAGAAGGATCACAAAAGTACCAGTACTTCCTAGTTCACTAAGTTGTTTTGCAAACACTATCTCATTTAATCCTCATAAGCCTTTGAGGAAGCCAGAATTACCTCCATTTCACAGATGAAGAAACCAAGCCTCAGAAAAGTTAACCAACCTGCCCCAAGAGAAAGATGAAAAATCAGAATCCAGGGTCTCAGACTCCAACATTAACACTTCCCCGCCTTGCAACTCCTACCTTCAGAAAGATGACTCTGAAGTGACTGCCTGGTCAGCAGAATTGGACTTTAGCACACTTGAGAATAGTTGACATCCTGCATCACATCTAAAATTGCCGTCTAAATTTGGAAAGCAGCTTTTATGTCCGCTAGCTGCCTGGATATTCTGTAACCTGTAGGGCACAAAGACTATGTTTTATTCATCATGATCTCAAGGACTGTGTTTTATTTAGCTTTTATCTGTCCCCCTCAGCGTTATATATAGTGCTTTTAATTATTTTCTCCTTCAACACTAGTAGATTCAATCATTCATTTAATTTCATAACTCTGGTATCATTTTCAATATAATCTAGGGCATCAGCATAAAACTTCAAATTTAAAAGGTGAAAGAGTGGGGGCAAAGGGTATCACAACAGCTTTCTGAATTCAGAAATTAACATTAGAAAATCAATATGCTCATGTGCTCTGACAGTTTTATAATATGGTGAAAATTAGCAACAAGACAAAGTATGTTTAAATGTACTTTCAAAAAAAAAATGTACTTTCATTTGACCCTTAAAATCACCCTGCAAGAAACGCAAAGTAAAGGCACTATAACCTCCAATTCAGAGTTGAGCAAACTGTCCATGTTCAAGATAATCAGATATACTGGAATTCGAGTAAGTCCTGACTTCAAATCTGTTCACTTTATTTTTTTTTTTTGTTCACTTTATAATGCCTTTGCCTCACCAAGATAACCCTTCTTTAGGAAACTAGTGAAGGTAGAAGATGAGAAACAGAATTGCCATCAACCAATAAGCAGCGTCGGGGGCGGGTGCGAAGAATGTCATCAACAAATAAGCGGCATGGGGGATGGGGGGCGGGGCGGGGCGGGGCGGGAAGAAGAGGACATCTACAGAAGTATGCCTGTTCTTGATTGCAGAACATAAATGGCCCTGAAGGGTTCCTATAGAAATCCTTTAACTGTTGCCTTTTGTTAGGGTGGGGAAAAGGACACTCACATATTGTTGGTGGGAGTGCAAAATAGCACATCCTTTCCAGAGGGAAATTCACATTAAAAAAAAAAACCACCAACAATTCTATCACTTAGGAATGTACACTAAAACAGTAATCATGGATGTGCAGATTTTATATTTCTCCAATGAAGTGTTTAAGTAGTGACAAACTGGGAATAACCAACTAAGTAAATTACTGCAGCCAAATAACGGCATGCTATGTAGTCAGGAAACAAAAAAACTGGTTATCAAAGAGAATCTACTTCATAATTCATACATTCATCTCTGCAAAAAAAAAAACAAAAAAACAGACGGAAGGTGTATCCCCAGCGTAAACATTCACAACGGTTATTTGAACGGTGAAAGAGGAGTTATCTTCCTCACCGTGGTTCTGTATATTTTAGAAATTGTATATATAAATATATTATTAAATATTTCGCTATGTAAATATTTCTAATCAGATGTTTTAAAGGCTTCTGGGGAGGGTGTGAAAGAGCAGGGCTTTCAAAAGAACACTTTAGTAGCCATTTTAAAAATACCACGTGAAAAAATAAAGCATTTTACACCGTTACCATGAAAACACCATCGAAAAATAAAGCACTCATCATGAATCTACATCAAAATCTTTTATTTTCAAATTCCAGTCTTTCAGTCATACCAGCTCAAATTCAGGAAAACGTTAAGAAGGTTGCCTGGCCAGAAGTCTGGGAGACCTTCTTGATTTCTACCTGTAGTTTTTAGTTTGTTTCAGAAAAGAAAAGCAATCACCTAAGAGGCAGCTCGAAAAGCACCTCGGCAGGAAAATATGTGGGAGGATAAGTTTCTCTCCGATTTCTTTCCCTCCCGACCTACGGACAGGCCAAACCTGACAGTAGCCGGCCCATTTTCCTAAATACACCTCAGAGAACCACAGAAGATGCAATTTTCAATATACGGTTCTAAAAAGACAAGTTGTACTTTCCAATGTAGGATAAAGAGCAGCCTTCACTACTCACTCTGGACGTTACCAGAGCAAGACGCCGCTTCCCGGCAGGAGAGCCTCTGGAGAAGGACAAAGCGGGGGCTCCTCGGCTCGGGTCCCTCAGGCGACGCGTCGGCAGGCGCCTCTGGGAAAAGGGCTCCGTCCCTGGGCACCGCCCCCTCCCCCCGCCCGTCCCCAAGAAAGACGCTCGTAACCGCTGGGATCCGAAGCCTGCCCGACGACGGGCGAGGGTCAGGACCACGGCAGCAGGTGCCCGGGTCGTCGCTTCTAAAATAAGTCACCGGTCTAGTGTCCAGAGATAAGGGAGCAGTCCCCCGGGATCCCAAGCTGGGCCGCCTCAACCGCCACCCCAAGAACCGTTCCTCCCAGGCGACGGACACGCCCTCCCCTCAGGCCGGGGCCTCCCCGACCTGCCCGCCCCCCAGGGCCGCTCACCGGATCGAGAAGTTCCCGCGGCCGCCGCCGCCGCGGCCGCCGCCGCCGCCGCTGCCGGCCCCTCGGGCCTCGCCCCTCGCACGGCCGCCACCTCCCACAGAAGCGACAACACAGCTACCTTCAGCCGGGCCGCGGGACCCGGAACTACTTCCTTCCGGAACCGCCTCGCCCTGCCCCCACCATGGCCACGCCCACTGTTTGTTACCTCGCGCAGAGCCCGCTCTCCCGCCGACCTCTGCTCTCAATTCCTTCCCCGAGACGGGTGCCCCGCCCAAATGGCTCCGGCCTGAGCTCCTGCGCCCTCTGCCGACCGTTCCCACCTCTGCAGCTCTGTCCAGGGCGCATGCGCCGTCTGCTGCCCTCCCTCCGGGAAGGGACACAATGGGCGCAATGGTTCAGGGATCCTGGAGGTTAAAGGTCAGGGATAGGAGCCCACCCCTCAGTAACAGGCAGGAGCTTGTTCCCGTGGATTTCAGCCCACCCGAACCTGCAATGGCTGTGGCTTCTTTCCTGCCTACTCAGTCTCTAGCCATTCCCCATGGCCTCAAATTAAGCTTCTACCCAAAAAACAAAACCTCCCCTCTAGACCTTCCAAACAGGTTAATAATAACATTTTCTCTCCACCATGCAATTAAAAATATTGACTCATTTTTGCCTGCTCTCTTGATTTCTCTCCTCCCACACTCCATCACCCCAAAGGTAGTATGTCCTCACTCTTGAAGCTTTCTCACTTGACACTTTGATGTTCCTTTTACCCCTTGCAAGATTTCTCTTTCAGGGTCCACTCCATCAGGTGGACCTTTTATCTTCCCTTGCCAACATCATCTACTTCCTGAATAAGTGTCCCTCTCCACCTGAATTACTGCCATCAACCTAATGAGTCCAACACCCATGACTAAGGCTTGCTTTCTTAACTTCCTCAGTCCAGATGACTTGACATCTATTCTACTTAATCCATCCATTCCCAGGTACCCATTCTATAAAATCTAGATATCCATCACTTCATACTGTGTGGTAGCTAAAACCTTAAGTTTACAAACCCCATTTATTTGGACTCAATCCTCATTCTTGCAGCCCTGTGTCTCCCTTAGTCCCAATACACTTGTTCTTCAAAATCCACAGAGCCCTCACATCCCCTGACAGGCCCATGGCCTTTGACTTCAACCACTCTTGTAAGCAGAACACTTGAATCACCCTTTAATACACTCTAACATTACATTGCTAACTTGAAACACTCCAGTTATCTGCATTTTCCATTCCTACACCTAGGTTTCCAAGCACTGCTTTGGGAGGAAAAAGCCACACAACTATAATATTAATATGGAGACCCCTGCAGTGGAGAGCCTTGGTGCCTCTCAGGAATCCTTTTATGTGACCTCTCTCATTTCCATAATAGCTGTTCCTAACCCTGACCACCCTCTTTAAGCCCCATACCAATGATCATTTTCCTCTCTTCATACATGAGTTTTGCTTCCTGTTTTGCAAGAGAGAATTTCCCAGCAGAGTGTGTAAGGCCTTGCATTATCTGGTTCATACTTACCTCTCTAGTTGCTCTGTTTTGGTCAATGCTTGGAAACACAGGTGTAGGAATGGAAAGTGCAGATAACTGGAGTGTTTCAAGGTGGTGGTTTGATGTTAGAATGTTTGCATGACACTTGTTATTACTTTATAAATATCTGTGTTCCCTACCTCACTGTAAACCTAATTTGGCAGAGACCAAATCTGTTGCTTACTATTACCAGCATTTAGCAGAATGTCTGGCACACAGTAGTGAGTCATTTTCATAAGTATGCTCTTTCTCTTCCACTGTTAGGTTTTGTGTGCTTCACAAATACATATGTGTGTGTATATATATAATGAAGTATACAAAACTAATATATATATATATTTCTTTTTGATTCATCTTTGAACAAACTGATTTTTGTTCAGACTTATTACTGATTAATAATAAGCACAAGTAGATGGCCCTTGTCCTTAATGCTGCTTGTGTGGACACAGAGGTTAAGTAGTTTGCATAAGGTCTCAGAGCTTTTGGTGTGTATATGACTAGAACACATATATAGAACCAGCCTAAGAGAAGTGAAATGTTATTTGCCTTTCCATTTATTTTCTTTTTCTTTTTTTTTACTTTTTTAAAAAATTAGTTGGAGGCTAATTACTTTACATCATTGCAGTGGGTTTTGTCATACATTGAAATGAATTAGCCATGGATTTACATGTATTCCCCATCCCGGTCCCCCCTCCCACCTCCCTCTCCACCCGATCCCTCTGGGTCTTCCCAGTGCACCAGGCCCGAGCACTTGTCTCATGCACCCAACCTGGGCTGGTGATCTGTTTCACCCTAGATAATATACATGTTTCGATGCTGTTCTCTTGAAACATCCCACCCTCGCCTTCTCCCAGAGTCCACAAGTCTGTTCTATACATCTGAGTCTCTTTTTCTGTTTTGCATATAGGGTTATCGTTACCATCTTTCTAAATTCCATATATATGTGTTAGTATACTGTAATGGTCTTTATCTTTCTGGCTTACTTCGCTCTGTATAATGGGCTCCAGTTTCATCCATCTCATTAGAACTGATTCAAATGAATTCTTTTTAATGGCTGAGTAATATTCCATGGTGTATATGTACCACAGCTTTATTTTATTTTTCTTTAGTTTTCAGGCAAAACCAAATCTACTGTAGAATGCCAAGTATGCTTAATATAAGTTCTATATTAGTGAGAATAAATTATGCTATGATAACAATCCCCAAATCTCAGTGGCCTATAACAACAAATGCTTATTTTTCACTTATATTTCAAGTCCACCATGGGTCAGCTTTGGTTCTATCTGAGACCTGGTGGGTTACAGTTCATGGGGTCACAAAGAGTTGGACACGACTAAAACGACTTAGCACATACACATGAGACATTACTGGTGTCAAAACCAAAGAAAAGGACCATGAGTGGGACCATGCATTGGATCTTAAGCCTTCTGCTTTAAACCTGAATCAGAAATTCTAGGGGTGGGACCCAGCACAGTTTCAACAAGCCCTCTATGGGATTCTAAACCATGATCAAGCTCAAGAACTACTTCTCTGTTGCTTGTATTTTCTGTAAACCAGCAGATGAATGCAGAGGCTTGATAAAATTCACACTAGTTTTTAAACTGATTCTTAAACAAGAAAAAAAAGTCAAATTAAAAAGAGAGAGAGAGAATCAAGGCTCTTGACATAGACCAAGTGTCAACTGTCATTGTCATTTTTTGGAGGAACACTGCTTTGGGGCAAACCTGTCAGCTGCCCTGATATGTACCTCCAGCCATCCTTCTGGATAGCTTTCTTTTTTAAATGCTAATGTGAGAATAAGGTAATTAGGAAGAAGTAGGACAAATCACTCTCTCATCCCTTGACAATGCTGTTGGCCCAGATTTTTCTCACAGTTTTAGTCTACTCTGGTCCTTATAAACCCAGGACTGACAAAACCAGGTAAGTTTTCTCTTTCCTTAACCATCTGACTTTGGTTATGTTCCTTAACACTGTCAGTGAAATTGAATGTAGAATGCTTAGCTAGCCCTGATCCCTCCTCTTTTTCTTCCATTCCATGATATAGGCACTTTTTTGGTGGATGCTGTTCTTTACCTTTACTTTTTAAAGGGCATCATCAACAGTAGAGCACAGACAGAAATGATTTATAACATTTGGAAGAAAATTATTTTAGACAGGCTTACGCTGCAGATTTCTTTTTGCTCATTCTAGTCACTGACTTTATGGCTGTTTTCCTACTGAGACGGAGGACAAATTCCTAAACAAGATTTGGTAGCTGCTACCACCTCTTTGGTTCCATAAATTGTTTCCTTTGTAATGCAATATGTGAAGCAGCTTGGCCCTGGTTCTGAAAGCAATACAATATGTGTGGTTTTCAGACAATATGTCAAAAGTCAGCGATTATTTTGAAAAAAAGTTTTTTGATTGATGTGAACTACCTACATTGATGCAAGGCAAAAAGTAATGGTGAAGTTAGGTTTAAAACTTAATTTCACTGCAAAATAATTGTTTAAAAATTCATTAATTACCTTATTTATATCTTTACAGTTCTCCCTGAAGCTCTTCCCATAAATACCTAAAAAAAATGTTTTGGGGCCACACCACATGGCATGCAGGATCTTAGCTTCCCCGACCAGGGATTGAACCCATCCCCTCTGCAGTGGAAGGGCTGAGTCTTAACCCGTGGACCACCAAGGAAGCCTTTTTCTCCCAAATCCTTGATAAACTGAGTTCACCTATCTTTTCCTATCACAAGCAGGTCCTGCATCCTGACACAACCCAGACACCAGTCATTAAGCTCTCAGAACTTTCATTTGCATGATCAATTTGCTTTGTTTAACTCCGTATTTGTTAGGCACCCCATAGCTGCTTCTTAAATAGCACGATGCCTAGCTGGCTCTGGTGGGGTTCTTCCAGGAACAGGCTCTGAGACCAGTTAGCACAGAGGAAGGGCTCCGGGAGTGCTAGGGGTGGGGTTGGGGCGGGGGAGTGACAGAAGCAGGAGCCAGAACTTGGGCTGCAATACATTCTCAACAAAGGCCTCAGGTGACCCCCTAGGGAGCTCCGAAGCTGGGACAGCCCTTCTGAGTTGTCCTACCTTGAGGCAAGTGGTCTTCACTGGCCCAAATAATTCAGTCAGGATCCAGCCTCTCAGGCTGGCCAAGTGAGAGGATTTAACGTTAGTGAAGCAGCCTCCTTCCGTCAAGGGTAATTCTTGGAAAAGAACTATACCAACAAGCCTCAGCAACTTACCTCCAGCATCTGGAAGGAGACATCCAGAAGGACAAACACCTTGGTCCTAAAGGGGAGGTCCATCCAGGTGGTGCACCACAACATCCATGACGCTAGCATCCAATGTGACCTTCAAAGCCATTAGAGCCGCTGCTTAAACTTTCCCACAGGCTGCTGAGGGCCTAGTGTCCTCATTGTCAAAGTGTAAGTTCCCAAAGGTTACAAACATAATTGTGATACAAATGTTCAGTGAGCACGTGTCACACCTGTGTTGTAAGGGTTCAGAACGAGCCATCCCCAAATGTACCACATTCACATGAGTATTATTTTGAGACTCTGTAGGTTCAAGAGAAACTACTGCCCTCCTTTGATTACCTAAAAGAATTGAATTTTTTTTAAACCAGAGAAGACTCACTAGCAGAAAATAATTTTATCTACATGGCCCCATCTACATTGCAGGACAAACATCCAATTACCAAACATCTGCTCTTCTTCTTATAGTCCTTTGGGTGACACCCTTGTCCTTGGAAGCCCCTGGCCCCCATTCCATTCCTCAGTTCAGACAGCAGAGACCTCATTTTTACCT